ATATTTGGTTAGGTTTTCAAAAACTCATAATAGGATTCAGGTAATGTTGTTGTAATTTTAATCATATCCAATTTGTGCTGTCGAATCGAAATACGGTGGCAGCGGCGGAGAAGATTGCCGGAGAAAACAGAGGAAAAAAACTAATTATCCCTTTATTGTGAGTCGATTAAACAACACAAATTTCCGATACGAAATCACTGACAAACACAGTGAAACCTCTATAAATTAATACAGGCTGGACCAACAAAATTTTATTAATATTAACGAAATATTAAATTATCGAACTAATTATTTAATACATTTTTGCCTTGTTGGAACCGAAAGAAATTATTAATTAAGCGAGATTATTATTTTTATTCAGATTATTAATTTATTCAGGTTCTAATGTACAAAATAAATCACAACTATTTAGTTACTCGTATAATTTACCTCACCAATCAAATTACCAATTTATCGTTGTTATTAAATTTCTTGTAAATAACTCGTCACGTAATTAGAAGAAGTGAAACTATGGCCTAATTCATAACAATGTCTTGTGTACCAAACATTTGATTTCGGCAGTGTATTTAATAATTTTTAACTCGATATTCTAATTAGGTGTATGATGCTGGAAAAAGATTATGGACAACTAAAGGAGACGAGATAGAAACGGCAAAGAAAGATTTCATCAAAGCCCTCAAGTTAATGGAAGCTGAGCTTGGAGAGAAGCCGTATTTTGGGGGTGAAAATTTCGGGTTTGTGGATGTGGCATTGATTACTTTTTCCAGCTGGTTTTACACGTACGAGACATGTGGCAATTTTAGTGTCGAAGAGCATTGTCCTAAATTGATGGAATGGGTGAAAAGGTGCATGGAGAAAGAGAGTGTATCCAAGTCATTGGCAGATCCTAAGAAGCTTTACGATTCTATTTTGTTCTTCAAGAAGAAACACGGCTTCGAGTAAGGCGTATCGTTCTTGTGTGTTTAGATTGTATCTATATGTTGTATGGCTATATATATATTGTCTATGTGCTTGTGGTGTTTGTTATTTTCGTTGTTTCGTTTTTCTTTTTTGTAATAATAAAGGCACAATGAATATTGTAAAAGACGGGAATCGGGTCGCTGGTAGTTAGACATCGCCGCACAATTAATCAATGCGGTAGTGGATAATCGTTGATAAATTAGAAATAAGATCATAATACAATTAAACATCCTTAAAAGAACAAATAAAACGCGGCAGTCGATAATCGTAATATCATGATTTAATATTTATCAATTAACTAAGATTAAAGTTGTTTTTAGGGATTTTTTTTTTTTTGGTAATGAAGGAATACACAACCAAAAAAAAATTGGTTTTTTTATTAATTCACACAAGTTTACTTGCTGCAACTGCTAGATATTCTCAGAACAATTTTAGGATATTTATGTAATAGGTATGCAATGATGTCATTGATAATCGAAACAAGATCAGTTCATATCGTGGAAAGTTGAGGCATAATATAAATATAATTTATTCGGCACTCACGTGACATTAATGGAATATATGACCAACTTTTCAATGCAAAAGTCAAAGTAACTGAGATATTATATTTTGAGGGGTAAATAGCACTTATTCCATTGTGATTTGGACATTTTACACATGATCTCTTTATAATATGAAATTAGGCTCATTATTCCTTTCTGGTTTGGACGTTTTGTACATGACCCCCTTGTGGTATGAAATTATGCACATAACCTCCTTAGATTTAATAGAGGTTGCTTATGTAACTCCATTCACAAAAAACTGGAAAATACAAAATTACCCCTAAAGTTTAGTCAAATTGCAACCATACCAACTGTTCGTTGGTTACTCTATCAAGTCAAAATATCTCGTTTTAATTTAAAAATAACTATTCTATAAAATGAAAAAAAGCTTAATGTATATTTTTGTAAAATGAAAAATATAATATATTATTGTGTTTTTCAAGTTTACAGCACAAAAGGTATATAATACCAGTTATTGTACGCTTGACAATTTATTCAATTTTAGAAACCAATTCGAAAATCTCATATACTACAAATCAAATATAAAAGGATTAAACTTGATATAAAATTATGAACTATCAATTTCTTTATTCAATTATAATTCGGTAAAATAATTCTACATATTTCAAAAGCTTTAATATTATTATTAATTATGATTATTATTTACTCTTTTCTATATAATATATTATATTATATATGTTATCAAATTTTAACTTTTTTTAAGAAACAAATTCTTGACTTACAGACATACATATATATAGGGAAAATTACATTTTTCGTCTTCATACTTTACCCACTTTTTCAAAACTGTCCCTAAACATTTTGGAGTTACAATAGTAGTCCGTAATCATGCCATTTTTGACAGAATTGGCCCGCCGTTAATTTTTGCAGTTAAGTTGGATGGAAAATGGCATGTGCCTCTCACATGCCTTCAATTTACAACACTACATGAAAATGAACTTTCAACACATATTTTTTATAATTATTATTTTTAATTAAAATTTAATATAAAATCGAAATCATGTAAATTTTAAATAAATCAACTCGTTTCGGAAATATTGTTTAAAAAATCAAAATATAGTTTAAAATTTTAAAATATTGTTCCAAAATCGGCATTTTTGGAATTCAATTACAATATAATACATCGTTTCAAACCAAAATAAAAAAATCCATAGGAATTGGAGAATTAGAAATCTCCATTCCAATTTTCACCTCTAGTCAATTCAAAAAATCTCAATTGTGAGACAATATGTCGAGTTTAAATCATTCAATTTGGGTGAAAATTGGAAAGGAGTTTTCTCATGCCGCCTAGATTGATCGAATTTTTATTTTATTTTAAAATAATATTTTCATTCAATTTCCAAAAATTCCAATTTAAAACACAATATTATTTTTTAGACAATATTATGATTTTTTAAACAATATTTCTGAATTTATTTTTAAAAAATAAATCGAGTTTTAGATTATTAAATAAGGGTGAAAATTGGGACGGAGTTTTCTTACTCCGCCTATGACGATCATATTTTTTTTATTTTATTTAAAACAATAATTTTCATTTGGATTCAAGAAACTCCGATTTTAAAACATTATATTATTATTTTAGACAATACTTGTAAAAATATTTTGAAACAATATATCGAGTTTTACATTATTAAATTAGGGTGAATATTGAAATTGAGGTTTCTTATCCCGCCTATTCGGATCGAATTTTTATTTTATTTGAATTAATGTTTTCATTTGAATTCCGAAAATCTTGATTTTGAAAGCAATATTTCATTTTTTTAAATGTTTCAATTGTTTAAAGAATATTTCTCAAAATATTTTAAAGCAATATATATCGATTTTGTTTTTTTTGGAATTTATATAATTTCGAATTTCAATCAAGTTTTAATTATGAAAAACTTGTTTAACAACACACAATGCGTTTTGTTAAAAGTCCATTTGCATGTAGTGTTGTAAATTGAAGGCATGTGAGAGGCACATGCCATTTTCCATCCAACTTAACTGCAAAAATTAACGGCGGGCCAATTCTGTCAAAAAATTGCATGATTAAGGACTACTATTGTAACTCCAAAATGTTTAGGGACATTTTTTAAAAAGTGGATAAAGTATGAGGACGAAAAATGTAATTTTCCCCATATATATACATAAGAGGCGGACCCCGGTATTTTTTGTTTGGGACTAGAATATGGGGTCATTTAAGAGAAGAAAAAAAGAGTTTTTTTTTTTTTTTTTTTTTTTTTTGGGAATAAAAGTGCATAAAAATAAACTTTGGGGTGGACAAAAGTTATAAACCAATATATAAATACCAAATTAAAAAATAATTTATGTAGGGGCGAGGGCCAACCCCAATCTCTTACGGGTCCGCCCCTGTATATATACATATACACGCACATATATATGTCAAATTACGGCCACCCCTCTGATCGTTATGGTTAAATTACGGAAAAAAAACGTCTTATGCATGTTTGGGTAATTACAACCACCCATCTAACTATTTATTGTCATAGGAAGAAACCCCTTTCTCCAGTAGTTAAATTTAACACCGTAAGAGTGGAGGTATAAGACAATACGTAGTTAAGGGGTAAGAATTTCAACAATGAGAGAGGTACATATCTCCGTTTCGCCCGATAATTAAATTCATAAGGGCAATACATTAATGTATTATTATTATTATTATTTAAATTTGAATATATATGTATATATATACATACATACATACATATACAGGTGGCATGAAGATTGTGGGTTCGATCAGTTGAACTTTGGGCGAGATGCATACATACCGCCCATTTTCTTGCATCGGCAATTTTTGGCGATCCGCAATTGGTCGACGCTAGTATTTCATTCGCCAAAAATGTTGTGCTTATAGCACGTATCGATGATTTTTTCGATCGACATGGCTCTAGATCAGAAGACTCGTACAAGCTAAGATCCTACAATTAGTAAAAGAGTATATATAAAATTGTTCATTATATTCCTTATGTTATTATGTTTTCATAAAAGCTAATTAAGTAATACTATTATTATTATAATTAATTAATTGTTCATTATATCTCCATGATTAAGTAATTAATTAATAATAGGTGGAATATTGAGAGGCCAGTTGAAGAATATATATGGCTCCAAAGAAGTTGAGATACTGTTTACAGCACTGTACAAACCGTAAACGAGTTGGCAGAAAAGGCTTACGTTGAGCAAGGCCGTTGCGTTAAACGTCATCTAATTAACCTGGTAATTATATTAATTAAACGCGCTATTTTAACGTTGCATGCATGCGTACTTTACTAAGTGATCTATTTTAAATATGATGTTTAATTTCTTGCAAGAGTGTGGGTTGAAATTCTGACAAGTTTCGTGAAAGAATTGGATTCATGGTACAAAAACGCTGCAATGATAAAGTTGGATGAGTATTTGTCTTTTGCTCGGATATCGATTGGTAGCGGAGTCTGCATTCTCACATCTATATATTTTCTTGGTATAAAATTATTTGAAGAAATGATTTTCAGTGAAGAATGCATTAGTTTGTCAATGCATGCTGGCACGATTGTCCGCCTGCTCAACGACCTTCGATCGTGTCAGGTAAAATAATATAATTGAACAATATTAATTATTACGTAAACATGTAATGACTATTCGTGCATGGTACTACTTGCTAGAAATTCATGAAGAAAGAAAATAACAAAAAAAGTGGTTTTAGTTTGGAAAAATATATGAGTACGTAATATTGGATATATAAATATTGACAGAATGAGAACGAAGAAACGAGGTTAAATGCGGTGAGCATTATTCTAAAAGAAGACGAGGAAAAAGGCGAAGAGATGGCGATTTCGAAGATAGAAAAAATGGTAGAGTATAACCGGAGAAAATTGTTGAGAATGGTTTATCGAAGAGGAACGATTCTTCCGAGAAAATGCAAAGATTTGTTCTCCGATTTATGTAAAATGGGTTACTATTTGTACTTGTCTGGTGGCGGTGACGAATTCACTTGTCCACAACTAATAATGGGGGATATGAGGCTATTGATCCATCAACCCCTAAAACTTCCTCCGTCTTGATCATGTAGTTATCAATTGCTTTTCTCCCCGTCAATGTTACGCGCGTGTATTTCACACAATAAATGTATTACTCTCGAGTTAATATATATACATGTGTGTGTGTGACGATGGCTAAAATATCGAACACTGCGGCCATTACAGTCGTTGAATCACTACTTTATGCGCGTCGTTTGGGTTTCTAACTTTGTGTTCGCTTCCATTAGACTTCTCAATTCCATTATATAGTTAATATGTACCTACAACCGTAAATAAAAACAGAAAAATTAGCTTCTCCTCCAAAACTATTTTGTAGCTAAAAGTCCGTTCGGATAGGTTGAATTTGCTTAAAGTACTTTGGCCCGTATTTATAGGATGTTAGAAACTATCAACCATCTATATTTGGATTCAATCGATGGTTAATTATCGATTATAACTTATAAGACAAAAAGAAAAGACTCGGGCATTGGGTACGTAAAAATAACTTATGAAGAACCCTAGTTGCAACTAGGAGTTTACATGAGTTGAATGGGCTCCACAAAAGTCTGAGCTTGTTCTCAAGCGCACTTTATCATACGCTCACGAGCTGGCTCGTGAGCTTTTCTAATTTTTAATTTGTAATTTTTTTTATTTATATATTTGGGAATATATAATAAATACATATAAATTTGAATGGAATGTTAATAAGACCATAAGAAAATGCGGTAAAATTACTATAAAAAATAAACGAAAAATTGAGTCTAGCGTGTCGCGCAATTTACCATATAGAGTAAATCACATTTCACAAGCCACAAATTGAATCAGGCTGCAAACAAGCCATTACTATTTTTATTCTTGAAAGATTCGACGAACACAAAAAAAAAAAAGACGTTTTTTCTGAAGATCGATTGTACGGCCTATTCAATGCCGAACTTCTTCCTCAAACCCACAATGAACTCGTAAGTCTTGTGAGGATCGGACAATGATTTGGAGACGCTCTCTTTCTGCACGCACCTCTTGCCCCACTCTATCAACTTGGGGCAATGCTCCTCAATGCTAAAGTTGCCGAGATTCTCGTAGGCGTAAAACCATGTATAGAAAGGAACCAACGCCACATCAGCAAATCCGAAGCTATCGCCACCAAAGTAACGCTTGTTCCCCAACTCTCCTTCCAACAACTTTAGGGCATCTAGGAGTTCTTTCTTGGCTGCTTCTTGCTCTTCTCCCTTTTTTAGCCACATTCTTTTTCCTGCATCGGCCACCTAATGAGAGAAGCAAGAAAAAGAAAACTTTATTACATTATATATATGAATGTACCATAACATAAATGCTTAGATCTAATAGTGGCAGATCCAGAATTTTATGTTTTCATGTGCCAAAAACATAAGCTAAAAATTCTTTAGGGGCCGATAATATATACTACATTACTCGAAGAATAATAAATATCTATATTTACTCTAATGGAGGGGTTCCCCCTATATTGAGTCTAATTGTTAAAAAAACTTATTAGAGTTACTTCACAACCTTGATAAATTAATATTCGATAAATTAATAATCTCATTTAAATAATATTTTTTTCCAGTCCCGACTTGAGAACGTGCTAAAATATTTCGATAAATTAATAGTATTTGACTGGTCCTAACTCTATTAATTTAGGACAAAATCCACTTTGTCCCCTATACATTTATGTTTTTCGCACTTTCCCTCATAAAAAATAAAAAAATGGATATCCTCCCTTCAAAATATTATATTGATTACACTTTGCCCCATAAGACACTTTTTGGAGGGCAATGTGCAATAAAAATAACATTTTAAAGGGGCGATGTGCAAAAAAGTAGTGTTTTTAAGGGGCAACGTGCAATTAAAATAACATTTAAAGGGCCAACGTGCCTCAAAAATACTCAATTCCAATGAATAATCCATCGGAAATTTGCTTTAGAGGCAATGTGCAACAAGAATAATATTTTGTAGGGGAACATTCACTTTTAAAAAAAATTGAAGGGGTAAAGTGCGAAAATTAGAAATTTACGGGAGGTGTTGTGCAATTTGCCCATTAATTTATAGATGTTTAACTTTAATTATTATTAGCAAAATCCCTCATATAAAATTTATTTTCTTAGCAGACTATCCCTAAAAATTAAGAAATTGTGTGCTTAAAGAATGTCTTTTAGAATATTTTTTTAGTATAAAAGTTTCTTATTAATTCCATATAAGCAAAAGTAAATATAGTAGAACCTCTCTCATAAAAAAAAAAAATACAGTAGTTACTCCATAAATTAATATTCAATAATAAATTAATAACCTCGCTTAGATAATAATTTATTCTGATCTTGACTTGGTGTAAACATACTAACTAGTTCGATAATTTAATATTACACTAAATTAATAGGAATTTTTGCTAGTCCTGACTGTATTAATTTATAGAGGTTTAACTGTAATTAAAAACTACATAATATAGGAGCAATAAACAAATAATAAATAAATAATCGAACCTTTTGGTCGACAAAATCAGCCCAAAACCTAGCTTGAGATCTCTGGTAAGGATCAGAAGGCAACAAAGATGAAGAATTATTATTCTTCCAAACCTCATCTATGTATTCAACAATATTCATTGATTCACAAACCGGTTTCCCATTGTGAACGAGAACCGGGATTTTCTTGTGAACCGGGTTCATCTCGAGCAAAAGCGCACTTTTGTCAAACAAGTTTTGTTCTCTGTACTCGTAGTCAACGCCTTTTTCCGCTAAAGCGATTCTAGCCCTCATGCCAAACATGCTGAAGTGGCAATCCAGCAGAACCACCTTATTGGCTGCCATTTTTTATTTTATTTTTTCTTAGAATTAAGAAATCAATATATAAATTATAAATCTATTTATAAATATATATTTTTCTATTGTGGTGAATTTGTTTGATGCAAGCAATTGTAGTTTCATCGTTATGTAAGGGGTTGGTGGGGTTTGGATAAATTTTCTTACACGTGTGGATTGTTTTTTTTTTTTTGGCTACTAATTAATGGAATAATTGTTGGGTAAGATTTTGTATTAAATTACTTCTATATAAGTATAATTGCAATTTGCAATGTATTATGTTTGGATTTAACGTATTTAATATGGTCCTATCCTGTCTTTGCCCAGGACCATGATCTACCATATAAACACATATATAAGTTTTTATTTATACATAAATTCTTTTATATATTTTCATATAAATATATTCGAAATAAATATGGTGGGAATTCTGGGATTATATTTGCTAGGGCTTACGGGATTGAGAGACAGGAAGAAAAATTAGGAGTTTAGGTTTAGGGTTGACGGGATTCAAGGAGTAAGAAAATTGAAAATTATTTTAGTAGTAAAGTATAGGAACGAAAACTGTAATTATCCACATGTAACTAATTAGAAAAAAAATATTTTTTTTTTTTGAAAATTTGCTATTCAAACATATTTCTAATTTTTCAGAAACTGCAAAATGGCCCATAAAGTGTCCAGCAGGTGTCCTCGAGTGTCGGACACAAACCGTATCCAAAACGCGAATACATTTAGAAGAAATTTCCGTGCTACATAGCCCCACTCTTATAGTGTCATATAATTTGAAATATAATTTGTCATGTTATTAAGTAATTATTTTTTCTATTTTTGAAATGCTATCTCGCGCATTGTATCGGGAAGAAATATTAGTTAGTTGAAAATGATAAAGCAAAACAGATAAATGTAGCAAGTATCAGACCTAAAAAAATAAAAAATAAAAGTCAAATTTCTTTTTTTTTAACAAGAAAAATAGATAAAGAAAAATCCCCTGTTCTCTTGCAGCATCATAATTAAAGATCTTACTACACATGCCAAAAGCCAAATGATGAATCTTAGCTATTCTTAGTTGAAATTACAAAACTAAATAAGTTAACATCCCCCTAATAGAGGCGAAATACATCGAATACATCATAACGATGTTTACGAACAAAAACACACGTCTACATTGTTGCGTTTAAATGAATAGTTACGATAAAATAGAAGAATGTAACTTCATCTCGTGTAACATCACAAGAGACCTCATGCTTCGACAAAAAATGCATCGTCTATTCAAAGCCGAATGTCTTCTTTAGATACAAAATATACTCGTAAACCTTCTTAGGATCGGGTAGTGACTTGGAAACACTCTCTTTCTGCATGCACCTTTCGATCCATTCGATCAACTTAGGGCAATGCTCTTCAATGCTAAAGTTACCGAGAGTTTCGTATGCGTAAAACCAACTGTAGAAAGGAACTAAGGCTATGTCTAAAAACCCGAAGTTGTCACCACCGAAGTAAGGCTTGTCTCCAAGCTCGCCTTCCAACAATTTGAGGGCCTCTATGAATTCTTCTTTGCCTTTTTCTTGCTCTTTTCCTTTCATTGTCCATACCTTCTTTTGAGAATCGTTTACCTAAATTGAACAAAATGAATGTGAATGTAATCGAATAGCGCAAAATCGCAACTTGGTCAAGAAAATAATACCACATACTCTGTTTTCAGCAAAACTTAACGTGTAAAAAAATAACTTGCATAATAGGGGTGAAAATTAGAACATAGTTTTCCAATTCCAATGACTTCGATACTCTGATTTTGGAACAAGTTTTCAAATTTTCGGTTATGGAACACATTTTATAACATAATTGGAATTAGTTTATGACTTCTAATTTTCGGTTATGGAACACATTTTATAACATAGTTGGAATTAGTTTATGACTTCATAATAAAAAAGGAAAATTACAGTTTTCACCCCTCAAGTTTGCACCGATATCACATTTGGTCCCCCATGTTCACAAATAACACATTTGGTCCATCATGTTTGAAAAATTTAACACTTTAAATTTGGCATTTTTCGTCAATTTACCGTTAGTCCGTTAGTTAAAGGCAGTTATGGGCACACTCTTGATTCCACACTCTTGATTCCGTTAGTTTTAAAGGAAAATTAACGGAAATGACTAAAAGTGTTGAATTTCTGAAACATAAGGGACCAAATGTGTTTTTTTGTGACCATACGACTAAATGTGAAATCAGTGCAAACTTGAGGGACAAAAACTATATTTTTCCCAAAAAAAAAAAAAGCATTATTCCTAATGTTATAATTCTAATCCGATCCGTCTAATTCTGACTACAAAACATGCAACCAAAATGAAAACTTTTTAAAGATATAATGCACAAAAGTAAAAAATAAAATAAAAATAGTTTACCTTTTTGTCAATAAAATCAGCCCAGAACCTAGCTTGAAATCTCTTGTAAGGATCACAAGGCAACAACAATGGAGAGTCGTCATTCTTCCACACATTGTCGACGTACTCAACGATCATCATCGATTCGCAAACGGGTTTTCCATTGTGAATCAGAACCGGGATTTTCTTGTGAATCGGGTTCATCTCAAGCAAAAGCGTGCTTTTGTCGAGCAAATTCTCATCCTTAAACTCGTACTCGACGCCCTTTTCCGCTAACGCGACTCGAACCCTCATACCGTACATACTAAACATAGAATCTAGCAACACTACCTTGTCAGCAGCCACCATCTTTTTTTTTTTTTTTTTTTTCTTTCTCCGAGACTTAAAAAATCGAAAAGGCTTAAATTTCAGTTAAGTAAATTTAGTGAGTTGTAATAAGCAAAAGGGAAGAGAACTGAATGTATATATAATGGGGGAATGCTTATAGGTGACAATTATTTTTTTGGAAGGTTAAAGAATGTTCTAGAGGAATCTTCGTGGAAGTTGCCTTTAATGGAAACTTCGAAACACGTGTGTGCCACGCGCGAGCTCCGCTTTTTTTGACTTTTCATTATGCATTTCATTATTGTCGTGTTTGTTGGACTTTGAATGACGTTTGCTTTCAATGTTAAACAAATCAAAGTTTGACTTCTCCAACCCCACACACCTTCTAGATCTCTTTTTTATCTGTTCATATTTTTTTTGGGTAAATTAACGAAAATATTCGTTTCCTTGAGTAATTAGACCTACCCCTTAACTATATATTTTTTACATATTCATTATTATATTGCGTATTACTTTTATGTTGTTTTTGCCCCTCCATCTATTTGTCCAGTTAGTATGGACGAAAAATAGCATGTGCACCCCACACGACACATAAAAAACACCTCCATTCATACGAATGTATGATTTTAAGAGGAATTTCAAATATACCCAATTTTTTTTCTTCAAAATCCTAATCCTCAATTTTCGAATTTTCGAAATTCATTATTCACCCCGAGGCCACGGATTAAAAGTAAATTTCGTTCTCTTTATCTATCCTAAATTTTCAATTTCCACTTCAAGAAAAAATACTTGTCCGAGGAAAATATTCATCACAGAAGGTCCATATCTCATACTTTCTAATTGAATTCCGCACTTTCTAATAGTGCTTTCAAGTTTTGCTAAGGATATTTCAATGGTGAATTCGGAACGAATTTAGAGATTTCGGAAATTAGGGATTAGGATTTTGACGAAAAAATTGGGTATTTATGAAATTCCTCTTAAAATTCTAACTTTACATGAATGAGAGGTATTTTTTATGTGTCATGTGCGGTGCACATGCTATTTTCAGTCTATAATAATTGGACAAATTGACGGAGGGACGAAAATAACATAAAAGTGGCATGTTTATAGACGTAAATTGTAACTTCATCTTGTTTAGTGACGAAAATCGAAAAAGTGGTAAAGTAAAGGGACGGAAATGTAATTATCCTGGCATTTTCGTTAGATAATACATAGTTGAAGAGTGGTTGTAATCACGCAAACAAGAGGTTTTTTTTTTTTTTTTCTTCATAATTTGACCTGGGGTGGCCGTAATTTACCCTAAATTCTTTTTTCTTTGATATGATCTAGCCTTATTATGTTTCCTTCGGTTTAATTTTAAGTAATATTTTGATTTTTTTATGTTTTAGGGGTACTTCTAGCCTTATTTCCTTAGGATTTGTTTGATTATATATATGAAATAAATTTGAATTAGATGAGATGAGATTAACTAACTATTGACTAAGTAAGTAATTTTTTATTTTGTATGATGTCTGGTTATTAGATTAGACGATCTTGTATTAAATTTGTTAAATTCATCTATTATGTGTGATTTTTTATTTTGTTTTTGAACCACTTCTACAAAATTAATCACATAGGAGGTTATTTACCCAATTTTTGAATTGTTTACTTGAACTTTTGTGGCGGGTTTACCACTAAATAACACTCAATAAATAAAAAGTAACAACTCTCTATTACCTTTTGGACTAAAGAACATTTTCAATAGGGTTAAATAGAATTTCACCCCTCAAGTATAGCCTAAGTAACACTTCTTGATTTTATGGTTTTATGGCTTAAATTCACACCGAAGGACGTCGTATGTGGGAAGATCGTCCTACCAATGGGATCAACTAAATATAATGTGGAAAAGTTCTCTGGATCTAGTGATTATATATATGGTCTTTGGAGGATGAAGATGAGAGCCATGTTGGTGCAACATAGGTTGATAGATGCTTTGAAGGGATGCCAAAGAGCTTTATGATTCCTTGTCAGAAAAAGAGAAGAATGACTTGATGGGCTCAGGGCCGTTCCTGAGATTTTGGGGGCCCTAAGCGAAATTTGAAGATGGATAAAAAATGGGGCCCCTTCTACAATCTACAATAAAACTTTTTTTTTTATAAAAGGTGATAAACTCTATTTTAACTAGATTTTATAAGGTACATAGCCAGTGGCAAGGCTAAAAATTTGTGATATAGTAGGATTAAAGTTTACGGGGGTTCGGGGGCGGCGCCCTCGATTTTTTTAAGGATAATTTGCATGAAGTAGCACTAAAAAAAGTGAATATATATAAAAGTAAATAACTAATGCATTACAAATCTAATAATTAGGGGCCCTGATTAAAGGCGGATTCTAGAAACAAGTAAGAATCGTTGATATGTAGCTAGTTATGAATTAAAGTTCTCAATAATTATATATATAATATATTTTTTTTCAATGAATGTTTATATATAAAGGGTATAAAAAAATTTGGGGGCCCTAAATTTTTGAAAAAATCCGGGGGCCTTAGGCGACCGCCTACTTCGCCTCCCCTCAGAACCGGCCCTAGATGGGCTCAATCAATCTGAGCTTAGGTGATACATCTTTGAGGGAAATAACTAGAGAAACCATTGTACAAGGTGGTTGATTGAAGTTGGAGCAGTTGTACATCACCAAATTTCTCACAAATAGACTCTACTTGAAGCATACACTATATTCCTTCAAGACGGGGAATGAAAAGCCTCTGTCAGACGAGATTGATGAATTCAACAAGATTCTGGATGATCTTGAGAACATTGAGGCGAAATTGAAAGATGAGAATAAGGCATTGATATTACTCAATGCTAACCAAAAGTTATGACCATTTCAAGGATGCACTTGTACATGGGAGAGAGCAAATCATCTCTCTGAAGGAAGTGCAATATGCAATTAAGGCCAAAGAATTGGAGAAGAAGCTCTTGAATCTGGAGAAGGACTCGATGTAACGGGAAAATCAGAGAAGATAGACTTCAAGGACAAGAAACCTAAGTGCATATCAAAGTCAACAAAGGGTAAAAAGACTCCAGTAGATCGGAGTGAAAGTGTTACATGTGCAAGATATATGGCCATTTCAAGAAGGATTGTCCAAACAAAAAACACAAGATCAAAGGCAGAAAAATGGAGAAGTTGGTGTTGTAGCTCAATTTTTGAATCTTAAGATGTTTGTTGGCACCAAATTTCCGTTTGTGAAGATTGAAGAAATCCGCCATACGTGGAAATTAAAGATTGGCAAAGATTTGTTTTCCATGTTTATTTGGAATTAATTAGAGTCCTATTCTTGTAATATTTTTATTAGGACTTAGATTTATTTCCATGTATTATATTCTAGTTAGATATCTTTTGTACTTATCTAGAATAGAATTAGAAATCGACTAGGATTCTATTACCTAGTTAATCGATTTCTTAGGGCTCAAGTTAGGTTTAGGGTGGTGGATTTCGTGCCTATATAAGGCCCTCAACCTCATATGAGTCCCATGGAGCTTTAATAAGAAAAATCCCAGCATAAAGGCTTTGAAGGGTGCAGCCCGTGCTGCAGCCCTGTCTGCACGACAGGTGTGGCAACATAACAGGTTTCTTCTACCAGGCCATAAAGAAGATCGGCGTTTCGGGAGAAGTGCTTAAAAGATCTCGGGAGAGGTCGATCCGCCGTTTGAAGGAAGTTCAACATTGGAGGAAGTCCAAGAGTGCGGAGGAGGAATTGCTTTGATTATCAACAAGTTTGAGTCGTGTGCAAGAACGGCGTATCACATAAAGAGGGAGTCTTTAGTGTTTTATTAAGTCCTATTAATGTACACATAAATCTGAACTAGTTTTGCAAGTCCTCGTGGATGTAGGGTACGTTTGTATCCGAACCACATTAAATTGTTGTGTTCTTTATTCTGCTTTTCGTAGATTTATTACTGTGACAACACAACAATTCTGTTACGTCACCTAATGTCGTAACATGTAGTCTGTCTCAACAGATGAGTGGACTTGGATAGGCATTCAAATTCAACAATGTTTTTGTTGTCGGTGGAGGCGATGTTAAGATGGATTGGATATTGAATTCACTGTGTTCTTTCCACATGAACCAATCAAAGTCTGGATTGAAATACTTGAGCTTAATGATAGAGGATCAGTCTTACTGGGAAATAATGATGCATGTTATGTGAAAAGGAATTAGTTCTGTAAGAATCAAAAAATTTGATGGCATTGAGAGAGTCTTACCAGAAGTGAGATTTGCTCCGCTGGTTAAGAGAAACTTGATATCTCTTGGAGTCTTAAGGTGGAGATAATCACATTGTTAAGGTGTCTAAAGGGTCTATGGTTGTTATGAAGGCATTCTTAAACTTCATCTCGAGCCTTTTAAGGCTAATGAGGCATTATGTGAGATTCCAAGGTTCCATTTACCACATTGCCGTAAAGTTTCCAAATGCCGTTCAAGGATGTAAAGGTTAAGATTAATTAGCTTTAGTTATTCCTTTTGGGGTTGTTACGGTTATCTCGCTTGTCTTTTTGACCTTCATCGTCTTCATAAGGTATAAAAGGAAAGATAAGACAGGGAGTGGAATTGATGGTATTTTGTCGACTACATCAGAAAGAATTTTCTATTATCAACACCTACAAGCAACTGAACAGTTCAGCACGGGGATTTTGATTATGTTTACAAAGGTGTTCTGGAAAATGGGAAAACTTTGGCCGTAATTCGCTATCTGAAGATCCTTCTAATGAAGATCCTTCTAAGAGCTTTGATGTCGAATATGAAGTACTGCGCAATTCCGTCACAAAAATCTAACAAAATTCATTAGAAGTTGCTCTAACGAGGATTTCAAGGCATTTATACTTGAATATATTCTCGCTTTCACTTATTCATATATAGTGTAGATTAAATTACATCTATCTTCAATTTATTGTTGTTGTTTTATGTAGCCAGTAACTTATATTTGTATGATACTTGTTCTATAGAGTATGGATTTGAAGGGCTGGGTTCGATAAGGTAAGATGTTTGGAGTGATGGTGATGGAAACCTTCACAGGAAAACGGCCAAACGATGATATGTTCGGTGGCGATTTAACCTTAAAGAGTTGGGTTCAAAGATATATTCACATTACTTTGTTACGACATCATCGAAGTTAAAAGTGTATTTTACACGAGGAACCAAAAATGCTACAGTCTCATGTCTCGTGATCTTTGCTTTTCTAGTTGTTATTGCTGTAATAGAGAAATCGAATTTTAAGTTCGGACAATTAAAACTTCTCTGTAATTCAAGTACAACCATTAGGTTTTTTTTGTAATATATTGATTCTTGATTTGATAAATTGTTAAAGTCTAGTAGAATGCAAGGAAAAGGTGATCACTTGTCCAAATATCGCCCCCTGTTAAATTCCTATCTCCAAATAACAGACATCACTATATTGTGGTGTGGAACAATCTTTGCCAGGCAATAAAGTCACTTATGAATACTCACTACAACATTTATCGCTTTATACGACGGATAAAAAGCGTCAAGAAAAGTGAAAAAACCGTCAGGAAGATTATACACGACGGTTTCAAAGCGTCAGAAAACCGTCGAGAAAAGAGGCGTCGTATATATTTTTACATGTAAAAAATCCGTCAAGAAAAGTTTTTTATGACGCTTAAAAACCGTCGGGAATAGTTTGTGATTATTTTATTTTGTTATTATTAATTAATTTTTGGCTCTGATACCTGTTCATTGTCCATTCACTGTACAGTGTAGTAGTTTAATGCTAAATCATGTAAATTATGCTAAAAGGTCTAACATGCTTAAACATGAATTATATTATTTATACATTGTAAAAGCATGAATTCTTCTTTACAGAGTACTAAATGCCAAACTTCCATTTGTAGTTAAATTTACATAATTCCAAATATTAGAATAAAAAATCTAAAAATTAATTGCGTCAGCCTCTCGTTTCACATATATCCTCTTGCGACCATATGCCCTCTTCCAAACACGTGCTAAAAATATCCAACTTCGAACTTGATAGGATGCATTTGATCAATAAAAACTTAATACCTCTCTGCAAAATTATAATTCCCTGCATAATAAAAAGGTCTTGTTCAATAAAGCTACACCCAAAATAATTTACATATATCAGCAAATTGACGAGATCTTATTCTCTACTTAACCGTCTCCAGTTTATCTCGGACATTAATATGTAATAAGATCATCATTATTTTAATTGAATCTTGAAAGATAAGCAATTAAGAAATTCGACTTTGAGATTAAGAGTTAACCTCAACAAGGACAAAAGTATGCCAAGACATCATAATGTGGACAGACAGATATCACTTTGTGCCCATTCGCCTACAAATTAAATGAATCATAAGATTAGAAAGATAAAACTTGAATAATTGGTCATTTAAACAATTGAAAACCATAGCTGGGGGCAATTGAACATTACCTAGACAACCAGTTTTGCTCCACGGACCAACCTCAGCTGCCACAAAAAAAAAGTCCCTTTCAATTCCACTGCATTTAGTTAACTAATCAGTTCACCTCGACAATTGGAAAGCTCACAGGTAAATTCTATCATTTAGACTTGTATTTCATAATTCAACGCATATAAAAAGGTACCTTAAAGAAAAGCCAGAAGATCTGTCAGCTGCGAGAACATAAAAACATAGTTATTATTCAAGCAATATATTCTTAATATAACAGTTTAATGAAGTAATGACCAAGTACTAAATTTGATAACAAATATTACACAACAATCTCATTTTAGTAGTGTGAAATAGTAGTAAGTTCCAAATGCATATGTTCCTGCAAGTTGACCTCTCTGGAAAAGACAGAGATAAAAAAGAACAAGAAAAAGTTATTCACAGCATTTATATAATCTTCCTAGCATCAAGAAAGTAGCAATACAGTCAACTTACTCTGCAAAAAGCTTCCAAGTCAACTGTATTTTTATTGAACAGAACTACTGTCAAGAGTACAGACATGAAACTTACCACTCCCTTTACTTCCAAAGTCACTTTCATTTCCATAGCTTCCTTTCCCTCATAGCCTGTTTACAAGTAGAAATGAAGAAAAAATCACAAACTTCGTGCCAATTTAATATATATATTATCCCATTCCATTCTAAATGACTTGCCTTGGCATTCTCCCCATGATCAGACTAAGGATATTACAACTACAACACGTGAATTTAAACATCGTTACGTACATTCATCAAATTACATAACGCTCAACCCAAACTCTACCATCCATACGAAGGTCGAAAATGTAATTAAGCAATTTCACTACTCTCAAACGAACAAATATGCTGCAAGTAATATAAACAGGATACAATATTTTCTCCGAATTCGAAGTTGGCCACTTATGGAAAGGGATGAACAACTATTATCAGAATCTTTCAAATGAAAAGATAACGATTGCAAGATCGTAAATGCCTAATAAAAATGATAAAATAGATATAGAATAGAATATAAGAGGTAAAGTAGTATACCTCTAATGCTTCAACCACCATCTTTAGGTTACCTTGAAAGCAAGAAACAACTCATTTTCTGAAGTTAGCACAAATTTCAAATGAAGACGAAAGAATACCTAGAAATAGACTTTGAGTACTAGCATATCACAAAACCATCAAAATGGCCTTGTTCCACAGTTAGAGGCAGTGAGAAATGAAGTTACTGAAATCACACGATTCAACAATCTACGAAATAAATTTCTGATACATAATACATGCACAGTCAAAATAAAACAGCAACTACAACCATCCTCAATGAACTAAATCTAGCAAAGATCTCTGGTGAAATTGGAGTGCCAACTATTTTGAATTTATGCTACTACTAATAATTTAGCACAGAAAAATTTGTACAGTCGAATGTGAATAATAAGATACCAGGAATTAATTTGGACCTTTAATATCTTCGTAAGCAATGAAAGGGGATTAGATTTTTGGAAACAAATTCAACGTCACTCCGGTGATTCCCAAATTAGCAGCGGAAATCGAGTTCTCAATGGCGATGGGTGCGACGGTTTACAAGTCGGTTGTTTCGGCGGTCTCCGTGCCGGTGACGGTGCATACGTCGGTGGCTTCGGCGGTATCTGTTTCCGGTGGCGGTGAAAACAAATTCAACATCACTCCGGTGATTCCCAAACTAGCAGCGAGAATTGAGTTAGCAATGACAATGGCTCCGGCGGCGTATACATCAGTGATTCGGCCGTCTCGTGGCGGTTGTTGCGGCGGTGGAGTTGACAGAATTGAAAAAAGCCCTAAATTGTTTTGTGTATTCTGTTTACTGTTTAATTTGAAAGGCGTGATTTCTCAAGGATATAAGTACATTTGTTTTTATAATTAATTCACGTTTTATTAAGTTTTATGTGACAGTTTTTATTCGTAAATTAATAGTTGAAAACCGTCGAGAATATCTTTATACTTGATGGTTTTTATCCGTCGGCAACTAGTTTAAAACCGTCAAGAATAGGATTATATACGACGGTTTTGGAACCGTCGAGAAAATAAAGGGTCGTAAAAAGCCTAAAATGTTGTAGTGACTTCAAAGTCAAGTCTGCGGTCAACCAAAACTACTTGTATTATATAATTAACTGTAAATAGCACTTAGCCCCCTGTTGTTACAAGGTTTTGTAGATGACATCCTTATACTTTTAATATCAGCACATAATCCCCACGTGGTTGATGGGTAGCTTCCGTTAGTTTTTCCGTCAAACTTAACAATCAGTGTCTAACATCAATTTTTTTTTTTTGGAGATAACCCCCTTGTGCTTTCATTTTCCGTTCATTTTTGCAGCAGACCCCCTTGAAGTTTGACGGACGCGGTTAAGTTTGACGAAAAGACTAATGAAAGCTACCCCATAAACCATAAGGGGCTTATGTGCTCATATTACGAGCACATAGGGGCCATCTGCAAAAGCTTGTAACCACAGGAGGGTTAAGTGTTGTTTATCCTAAAATTAAATATGATTTTGGTCCTCGGACTTTTTGAATGGAATAATATTTATTCAGATGTTTTGAAGAAGAAAAAAAACTTTTTGGTTGGTATTTTTTTGGATCCTATTTAGGAACTTTTGGTATTTTTCCCAAAAACATTATGCAGATAAAATAAATAATATCAGCACATAAACTTATATCAGCACACGGGGTTTAAGTGCTATTTATCATTTTAATGTACATAGATCTACATAAAAAACAGTTTCGCAAATAAACTCATTCCCATGTCTTAGGTCTAAAATACCCAAAATAAACTCATTCATGTTTTATGTCTAAAATACCCCTCATGATATAATTTCCATAAATCTCATTCATTATACTCTAATTTCATCAATATTACAAATTGACCCCGAATTTGAGCAAACATATATATCATATTCATCCCATTATCATAATATTTTGAAAAACTATGTTTTTTTTTTCAGAAAATAATTATTTTTTTTTCCTGCCAGATTCCATCGTTGACCTTTTTTTTGTGAAAACATATTTTTTTTGAAATATTTGCAAAATTATGATATGCCAAAATTATTGTGTTAACAACAATAATATTAATGAATGCCAAAACAGAAATATTACTAATATTAATGTCCCAAACAATTATATTACTAATATTACTGTCGGAGATAGTAATATTAGGTTCGGAGACAATAATATTGCAGGCCAATACGATAAAATTAATTAATATTAATATTATTGTCTCAGATAGTAATATTGCAGGCCAAGACAATAATATTAATGAAAAATAGTTTTTAAAAAAAGTCAACGGCGGCTGGCCTGTTGGAAAAAAAATTATATAAAAAAAAAAAAAAAAAAAACTCAACGCCAGAGACTAAATTGTGGTCAAAATTGGTTAATTTGTGAAATTGGACTAAATTGTGGTGTAAATAATGAAATTGAAGTTGAAATAGGGTTTCAAGAAGTTGTGGGCAATTTTTATATATATGAAAGAGTTTTCCTTATTAGCAAATAAATTTGAATGAGATTGACATATTTAAAAAACGAAAATGTAATATACCCCTTTTTAATTACGTACCATTGTCATTGGTCTATTTGTCATTTGTCATTTTTTAAAGAAAAATACTAAAATAGTATTAATTAGTAAATTAGTGTTATTTTATTGTTGAGTTGCACTTAATTGATTTTTATCTACGGTTAATGGCAAATGGACCCATGACAAGGGCACTTAATTAAAAAAGACACATCCAATCTTTTTGTTTTTTTAAATATTTCCAACTCATTCAAACTTATTTGCAAATAAGGAAAATTATTTTATATATACCAAAATTACCTCCAATTTCTTGAAAACCAATTCAACTCCAATTTCATGATTTACACCCGAATTTCACCAATTAACCAATTTTGACCCGCCACCACCGGAGACCTCCAATCAACCGTCGTTGACCGCCGGAGACCGGCGGTCTCAGGTGTTGAGTTTTTTTTTTCTACAATTTTTTTTAATTAATACTATTGTCTTGGCTGTTAAATTACTGTCGCCAACAGTAATTTAACTGTTAATTGACTTTTTTTTTTTTGAAATTTTGTTTTTTCTTAAAAAAAATTATTTTAATTAATATTATTGTCTTGGCTGCTAAATTATTGTCTCCAACAATATTTTAACTATCAGAGACAGTAATATTACTGGATCTGAAACAATAATTTAACTGTATTAATTAATTTTATCGTCTTGGCCTGCAATTTTGTTGTCTACGACCGTAATATTACTATCTCATGCAATTTAATATTTCACTTCCCAAATTGCTTCCCAAATTGCTCAACAATTTAATATTTCACTTTTGTAAATTCCTAAAGCAAGTTCTAAAACCGAATAGCATATGATATAGCATAAATTAATTCCACGTTTTAAAACACAAAACTTTCAACCAAAGCAAGGCATAATTCGTGATTCCTAACAATGACTCCGTCCTACGACAATTTGAATCAAAAGCTCACCAAAACTCAATCACAGTCAAGATAAAGCAAGCAATTTCATCATTAAACATCAAACATCTTTCATCATCATGATTCATCGAAGCATTCGACTCAAGCAATTATTTTATTTTATTTTTTTTTATTCCTAAAAAAAACGATAAAAGCAATAAAAATAAATAAAACCTAATGCATGCAAACTAAAACACATAAGCACAAAAAAAAAACATGTTTTTTCACCCCCAAACTTAAAATTTTCGTTGCCCTCAACAAAATTAGCACAAAGTTTAAGGATAGAAAACACCTGATTTAGTCGGAATCGTTGTCTTCGGGGTGTGAGACTTTGTGGAAAGAAATCTGATTGTCCTCTTGTGAAGATGCCCTCCATGTCTCTCGGATGACCGTCCCGATCGCAATTCCGACCTTAAAAATAAGAAATCAAATAAATTAATTAGAATGCATGCCTATGAAAATAAAAATAAAACATAAAATTAAAGAAAAATAGGAAAAACAGTAAAGCTCGGGTTGCCTCCCGAGAAGCGCTAAATTTTAAGTCTTCAGCCAGACTTTGCTTCTTGAAATTGTTATGTCCAATCCAAAGCCTTGTAGATTGCGCATTCATCCCTGAGCTCTATCACTTGAATTGCAACCAAGGCATGGATAGCACTGCAATATGTCACGGTCCACCTTAGCTTGTAGTCTTTTTTTGTTGTAATCAATCGGTACGAAGCTAAGATGGGATATTCATCACCCGCTCCCTCAAATCGGTACACAAAAACCTCACGTCCGCGTATAACCTCCACTTCAAACACATTCGTTTTCTCATCAACCTCTATTGATGCCTTCAAATCTACATTTAGATCAACGACATGGTCCACAACTAGAATATCTTCAATCATTACATCCATCTCCTTCTTCTCTTGTTCTGAGGCATCTTCATGGTTTAGCTCGATTGCCTACTCAGATTCATCATGCTCAAGTGTCTTCGTAATTTCTATTTCTCTCATATCGACACTATTTTCTGGAGATGGAAGATTTTTCTCACCGCAGGCTTCACCCGAATTTTCTTTGATGTAACCATTGCCGATTTCGTCTGGAATATTTTCAAGAGACTCAGATTTTAATTTGAGCGTCATCTCTTCCAGTTGTATCTCCATGTTTCGAAATGATGCTTGAGTGGAATTCATGAATTCGCCAATGATGGATACCAAATCAAGTTGGTCATTAGTGGTTTGTTGCTGCGATGGATAATAATTTTGAAAATCATCAAATTGTGGCTCTCTATGTTGAAACTCGTTCAAATCTTCGTCCTGAAAGCTTTGCTCGTATGTGTTGGTATAAGTGTTCCAATAACCTCTGTTGGTATTTCGACGAAATTCGTCGCTTTTGGTGATCCCCAGCATTGATCAGTGTAATGATTTCCACCACATGTTGAACAAAACGGAGGCATATCATAGGTGTTTTGGTGGTATTCGTCAGATGGAAGCCATTCATATCCCGTTTGAGGTGCCCGAACATTGTAACCACACATGTAACAAACAAAAAAAAATCAAAATCAAAATTAAAAATTAAAATTAAATGGCTGAAGTAAAAAAAATTGCTCAAATTTGATATTAGAATAAATAGATAATTTAGCTGTATTCCCCGGCAACGGCGCCAAAAACTTGTTTGGTGCTAAATACCAACACGCAAGTGCACGTATCGCAAACAAGTAATAAAGTGGACTCGTGAGAGTCGGATGTCGATCCCACAGGGAATACGCAAATTACCTAATCCTAAGTATCAAATTCTAACAATTATGATTTTTATCCAGCCTACGCAAGTTTGTCAAATTAAATCAATTAAACAACTAAACTAATTAAGAAAGCAAATAACACAGAAAAATATCAATTAAAACGGACCTAGGATTTTATCTTCCCCTATGCAAGAATTGCTCACCCAAAACCCCTCAATTATGAAATATATGATTCATGATTATTAACCCGAGACACTAATTTACTCATAACCCGCTGTCGCGTGTATTATGAGTCTATTATTCATAAACGATTCACTATATGTCTATGCAAACCAATTATAAATAAAGCATTAACTAACAAGTCTCGTAAATGGCTACCTAAGGTGATATCTGTATGTCTACGACACCACATGCAATTGACACACTCATTCGGTGAAAACTACTCGAAGGCTCTTCTACTTACCGTCTAATTATTAAAATAGCTCTGTCGAGTCAATCCTAATAATCACAGATAAAGCACATAAATTGATCAAGTTCATGCACTAACAATCATAACAAGTAGAAGAAATAATCATAAAATCATAATTGCATAATCTCAAGAAAAAGGGTTCACCATCCCCACATAGGGTTCCAACAAAATCCTAGATTAAAAACTTAGCTACTGATAACGAAAAACATAATAAAAGTAACAAAAGTCATAGATTAAGAAAAGATAGGTGAGAGAAGAATTATGATGAAGAGTTGTCAATTCTCCGTCTTCGATTCTACGTTCTCTCGTTCCTCTCACTCCAAGGTTGTGTCCAAAAGTCCTTTGATTCGTGCTTGGTTTGGGATTAAATAGATGTCCCAACTTGGTAGATGATTCTAGGTTTCCTTGTGTGTTTCAAAGTCCAAAATTGTCTCCAGCGTGATTTCGCACGGCCGCGCGAAAATCAGTGCAATTCTCGCACGGCCGCGCGAGAATCGCCGAAGCTTCTGCCCAATTTCTGCATTTGGCACGGCCGGGCCATTTTTAGGTGTAAATTTGGGACGGCCGCGCCGTGCCAATTCCTTCAGATTTTTGATTATTTCACTTTTGGCCCACATTTTCTTCAAAATTCCAGTTTTGACCCCAAACTTTTCCAATTCATCAATTTGTACCTAGAATTCCATAAATCAATTTTTTAAGCACCAATTATCGTTAAATCACACCAAAAGCTCAAATAAAAAGATACGATAAAGTGTAAAAATATACACTTAACACACCCCCAAACTTGATCTTTTGTTTGTCCTCAAGCAAAAACTATCAACTTTCACAGCAACACTCTCAACAAATGCCTCTCATCACATAGATTAATGGTCAACTTTCATTTTTTCAGAACTTGCAATTATCATGACAATTCTCAAAAATTTACAAGCTCGTAATTCAAAGATACGTATTCACTCACCATTGCTAAAAACCACAAACCATGCTATCGCTTCAAGTATCCCATATTTGTACATTAAAATTGGAGAAAATTTATACTTACATAATAATATTCAACTCCAAAGACTCACCAAATTTCTTTACTCGGCTAGTATCAAATAATTGAGCTATTGGGATCATTGGGACTTTTTGGCTTTCAAATGTTGGGCTTTTTGGTGCGAGGTAGGAGATATGGGTATAGGTGGCTATGCTTCTTGAATTGAGGTGATTACGCCAAATTTTGAAAGATAAGCGTTTGAAACAATGAATTCACCTCCAAGGACTTTTAATAAACTCGATTTTTAAGAGTTCAAAAGTCGCCACTTTTGCTCTTACGACAATGGATCGAGATTTCAAACAAAAATTCAACAACTAGTCCTTTCATCTCCCTTCTAGTCTCTTCTTCTTCTTTCTCTTTTTTCTTCTTTTTTTTTTTTTTTTTTTTTTTTTTTTTTTGGTAGAGGAAGAAGAAGGACCTTATAAAATTTTCCAACCGAACTCCAAAGGGTAATTTTTCAAGAATCTCCATTTATTCTACCTTATACACATTGGCTAAAAGAAAGATCACCGTTTCTCCAAGGCTCAATCAAGGTTCGAATGATAAAAATTTAAAGGTAGGCTTGAAAGGCTCAAACGGTTCAAAGATGGCCCAAATCACTTCCCAAATTGCTCAACAATTTAATATTTCACTTTTGTAAATTCCTAAAGCAAGTTCTAAAACCGAATAGCATATGATATAGCATAAATTAATTCCACGTTTTAAAACACAAAACTTTCAACCAAAGCAAGGCATAATTCGTGATTCCTAACAATGACTCCGTCCTACGACAATTTGAATCAAAAGCTCACCAAAACTCAATCACAGTCAAGATAAAGCAAGCAATTTCATCATTAAACATCAACCATCTTTCATCATCATGATTCATCGAAGCATTCGACTCAAGCAATTATTTTATTTTATTTTTTTTTATTCCTAAAAAAAAACGATAAAAGCAATAAAAATAAATAAAACCTAATGCATGCAAACTAAAACACATAAGCACAAAAAAAAAACATGTTTTTTCACCCCCAAACTTAAAATTTTCGTTGCCCTCAACAAAATTAGCACAAAGTTTAAGGATAGAAAACACCTGATTTAGTCGGAATCGTTGTCTTCGGGGTGTGAGACTTTGTGGAAAGAAATCTGATTGTCCTCTTGTGAAGATGTCCTCCATGTCTCTCGGATGACCGTCCCGATCGCAATTCCGACCTTAAAAATAAGAAATCAAATAAATTAATTAGAATGCATGCCTATGAAAATAAAAATAAAACATAAAATTAAAGAAAAATAGGAAAAACAGTAAAGCTCGGGTTGCCTCCCGAGAAGCGCTAAATTTTAAGTCTTCAGCCAGACTTTGCTTCTTGAAATTGTTATGTCCAATCCAAAGCCTTGTACATTGCGCATCCATCCCTGAGCTCTATCACTTGAATTGCAACCAAGGCATGGATAGCACTGCAGTATGTCACGGTCCACCTTAGCTTGTAGTCTTATTTTGTTGTAATCAATCGGTACGAAGCTAAGATGGGATATTCATCACCCGCTCCCTCAAATCGGTACACAAAAACCTCACGTCCGCGTATAACCTCCACTTCAAACACATTCGTTTTCTCATCAACCTCTATTGATGCCTTCAAATCTACATTTAGATCAACGACATGGTCCACAACTAGAATATCTTCAATCATTACATCCATCTCCTTCTTCTCTTGTTCTGAGGCATCTTCATGGTTTAGCTCGATTGCCTTCTCAGATTCATCATGCTCAAGTGTCTTCGTAATTTCTATTTCTCTCATATCGACACTATTTTCTGGAGATGGAAGATTTTTCTCACCGCAGGCTTCACCCGAATTTTCTTTGATGTAACCATTGCCGATTTCGTCTGGAATATTTTCAAGAGACTCAGATTTTAATTTGAGCGTCATCTCTTCCAGTTGTATCTCCATGTTTCGAAATGATGCTTGAGTGGAATTCATGAATTCGCCAATGATGGATACCAAATCAAGTTGGTCATTAGTGGTTTGTTGTTGCGATGGATAATAATTTTGAAAATCATCAAATTGTGGCTCTCTATGTTGAAACTCGTTCAAATCTTGGTCCTGAAAGCTTTGCTCGTATGTGTTGGTATAAGTGTTCCAATAACCTCTGTTGGTAATTTCGACGAAATTCGTCGCTTTTGGTGATCCCCAGCATTGATCGGTGTAATGATTTCCACCACATGTTGAACAAAACGGAGGCATATCATAGGTGTTTTGGTGGTATTCGTCAGATGGAAGCCATTCATATCCCGTTTGAGGTGCCCGAACATTGTAACCAGACATGTAACAAACACAAAAAAAAAAATCAAAATTAAAAATTAAAATTAAATGGCTAAAGTAAAAAAAATTGCTCAAATTTGATATTAGAATAAATAGATAATTTAGCTGTATTCCCCGGCAACGGCGCCAAAAACTTGTTTGGTGCTAAATACCAACACGCAAGTGCACGTATCGCAAACAAGTAATAAAGTGGACTCGTGAGAGTCGGATGTCGATCCCACAGGGAATACGCAAATTACCTAATCCTAAGTACCAAATTCTAACAATTATGATTTTTATCCAGCCTACGCAAGTTTGTCAAATTAAATCAATTAAACAACTAAACTAATTAAGAAAGCAAATAACACAGAAAAATATCAATTAAAACGGACCTAGGATTTTATCTTCTCCCTATGCAAGAATTGCTCACCCAAAACCCCTCAATTATGAAATATATGATTCATGATTATTAACCCGAGACACTAATTTACTCATAACCCGCTGTCGCGTGTATTATGAGTCTATTATTCATAAACGATTCACTATATGTCTATGCAAACCAATTATAAATAAAGCATTAACTAACAAGTCTCGTAAATGGCTACCTAAGGTGATATATGTATGTCTACGACACCACATGCAATTGACACACTCATTCGGTGAAAACTACTCGAAGGCTCTTCTACTTACCGTCTAATTATTAAAATAGCTCTGTCGAGTCAATCCTAATAATCACAGATAAAGCACATAAATTGATCAAGTTCATGCACTAACAATCATGACAAGTAGAAGAAATAATCATAAAATCATAATTGCATAATCTCAAGAAAAATGGTTCACCATCCCCACATAGGATTCCAACAAAATTCTAGATTAAAAACTTAGCTACTCATAACGAAAAACATAATAAAAGTAATAAAAGTCATAGATTAAGAGAAGATAGGTGAAAGAAGAATTATGATGAAGAGTTGTCAATTCTCCGTCTTCGATTCTTCGTTCTCTCGCTCCTCTCGCTCCAAGGTTGTGTCCAAAAGTCCTTTGATTCGTGCTTGGTTTGGGCTTAAATAGATGTCCCAACTTGGTAGATGATTCTAGGTTTCCTTGTGTGTTTAAAAGTCCAAAATTGTCTCCAGCGTGATTTGGCACGGCCGCGCGAAAATCAGTGCAATTCTCGCACGGCCGCGCGAGAATCGCCGAAGCTTCTGCCCAATTTCTGCATTTGGCACGGCCATGCCATTTTTAGGTGTAAATTTGGGACGGCCGTGCCGTGCCAATTCCTTCAGATTTTTTATTATTTCACTTTTGACCCACATTTTCTTCAAAATTCCAGTTTTGACCCCAAACTTTTCCAATTCATCAATTTGTACCTAGAATTCCATAAATCAATTTTTTAAGCACCAATTATCGTTAAATCACACCAAAAGCTCAAATAAAAGGATACGATAAAGTGTAAAAATATACACTTAACAACCATAAGTTGGAATTTCTCCGCTCAAATCATTAAAAGAGACATTCAAGTAGTCGAGGTGTTGAAGTGTTTCCAAAGACTTCGGGATTGAACCCGAGAGGTTATTATTAGACAAGTCTACAACTTCTAAACTGATCATGCTCCCCATCGACTCAGGGATAGAACCATCCAGATGATTATTCGCCAAAGATAAATTAGTCAAAGATACTAGCCTCCCAATCGTGCTTGGAATAGACTCTGACAACTGGTTTAGCGATAGATTTATCAGAGTTGCCGACACTAAATTACCTACATCAGGAGGTAAAAATCCAGTCAACGAATTCGAGGACAAGTCAAGCTCCAACAAATCTTTGAGGCCCCACACGCTTGATGGTATGCTTGAAGACAACATGTTGGAATTTAAAGAGATGTATCTTAAAGATGTTATATTTCCTAAACATTCGGGTATTGGACCGACAAACTTATTTTGGCTTAATAATAAATAAAACAAGTTGTTTAAATCACAAAGAATTTCTGGAATGGAACCTCTCATATAGTTGTCATGTAAAGATAATCCTTGAAGCTTCTGCAAATGGTTTACAGTCGGTGGAATGTTACCATACAACTCGTTCTCGTGCAACGAAAATTTCACCAAGTTGCTTAAATTGCCGATTTCCGTAGGGATGATACCCTTGATTTTACAGTTATAGGCGGTAAATCTTTGCAATGAGGTAGATAAGTTCCCAATGGAAGCTGGAAGGATTCCATCTAAAGGATTATCACTAATTGCCAACGAATTTAAGGATCTGCAATTAGTCAAGGAAGTTATGAAGCTCAATTCTGAAGAAGTGGATTCGCTCCTTAGATTGTTGCCATATAGATTGAGAAATTCAAGGATTCTTAGATTGCCGAGAAAATGAGGTACAAAACCAGTGAAGTTGTTCTTACTAAGGTCGAGAATTCTTAGTTTGGAACAGTTAGCGATTGAATCGGGTATTGATCCACTTAGATAATTTAAAGCGAGATAAAGTTCTTCAATAAAGGGTAACCCGTGATCCAAATTAGTTGGAAGACCGCCTGACAGACTGTTATCAGTAAGATCAAGAGATCGAAGATTTGACATGTTAAAGAGCTCCAATGGAATAAAACCAGTGAAGCTGTCAAAGTTTAATAGCAGTGTATCCAGTTGAAAATTTTTCCCAATTTCTCGCGGTAAACTACCTGTCAAAATTATTAAAAGAATACAAAATAAACATTGCATCTATATATATATATATATATATATATATATATATATATATATATATATATATATATATATATATATATATATATATATATATATATATATATATATATATATATATATATATATATATATATATATATATTGATAACATAGAAAGTCTTCGAAAGTGTTTTCTCAATCGCACCTGTTAGGTTGTTGTATGCGATTTCCATGTGTTTGAGCTTCGTAAGATTCCCGATATGTTTTGGGAGGTTTCCAGACAGTTGATTATGATGTAGTAGTAAACGTTGGAGCGAAGAAATATTGAAGATAGTGAGGGGAATTGTGCCGCTAAACTGGTTTCCTTCAATGCCAAGTATAGCGAGATTCTGAAGATTGCCAATCTCGGAAGGGATAACACCTACGGAACTCACAAAATCAAATTGTTAGAAAAAATATACAATCAACCTAGTTCAACAAGAATGTGAGGTATTATACCATTTAAATTATTACTCCAAAGATATAGAATCCGAAGAAATTTTAAATTGCCGATTTCTCGGGGTATCCGCCCCCTGAAGGTGTTGAAAGACAATAAGACAGTTTGAAGTAGTGAACATTCGGATAGACTTGTCGGAATTTCGCCACGCAACTTATTTTCAGATAGGTGGATATGTCGAAGAAGTGGAAGTTTACTACACATGTCACTTGGAAGGCCGCCACTCAATTCATTTTCGGTGAAACCAATAGTAATCAACGTCGACATGTTAAAGATGGCCGACGGTATATTACCCGAGAGACGATTATTCTCAATGGCGAGAAACTGAAGATTATGAAGCCTCCCCAACTCTAGAGGAATATATCCTTGAAGATAATTGAAAGAAAAATCAAGAACTCGTAGATTTGTCAGATTAGAGAGAGAACTTGGGATGAAACCGGTAAAACTGTTATTTCGTAGAGACAAATACTTGAGTTTGGTTAAAAGGCCTAACCAAGATTGTTGTTCGGACAAAGGGCCGCCAAAAAAGTTGTAACTAAAATCGAGCGAAACAAGAAACGACAGGTTTCCTAATTGTGGTGGAATAGTGTCCGCCGAAAGACCCATTTTCGAAATGTTTAGTGCAATTACTCGATTATGGCGAGAGCCGCAAGTGACACCAATCCAACTACAGACAGAGCTTGAGTTGGTCCAATTTTTTGTAATAATACGATAAGGGTCCGAAGTGATGCGGGATCTTAGGACAAGAAGTGCAGATTGGTCGGTGACGATGCTAAGTGTGCTTGTCGAGTTTGAAGCTAAGCAATGGATTTCACAGAATAGTTGTAGTAGGAGTATATATGCAAGAGTACTGCAAATGCAATAACATGTTTTCTCCATAACTTAGAAAGCTTATGGTTTGTTTGTTTGATTGTTTGTTTGTTTGAGGTTGCAATAATGGTGATATATATATAGTGAAATTGCAAATTAAAACACTACAAAGGCCACTTTGATTATCGTGGATAGAATTATTGTTTGATAACTATTGATTGTCGATCAGCACAAATAATTCACACAACTTTATGGGTGTTTGTTTCTTACCATAAAGTGTGACACCCTTTACTTTTCATGTTGTGTCATTTTTTATTTCATGTCATTGGAAAAGATGCATAACGCTTTGGTTTGAAAGAGAATAATATATATTGGGAAAATTACAATTTTTAATTTTCAAGTTTGCACTAATTTCATATTTGGTCCTCCATGTTCACAAAAACATATTTGGTCCCTCGTATTTCAATAATTTAAGGGAAAGTTAGATTTTCGGCCCCTCATGTTTGGCCCAATTCCACTTCCAGTCCCCGTTGTTCCAAAGTGAACAAAGTTAACCTCCAAGGTTCAATTTTAAACACTTTCGGTTCAATTTCTCTTTTTATAATTAAAAATAATTTATTTTATTAATTTCATTTTTTATTATTATTTTTTTTTATTATAAGTAGTAAAATTAAAACTAATATTAAGTATAATTAAAAATAACTTGTTTAGTTAATTTATTTTTTTATTATTAAAAAGTTAATTATAAGTAGTATATTTTAAATTTCTAATTGTTTACAAGCCCCAAAAAAATTTAAAATTTTAATTTTGGCCCAAAATAGTGTTTTCCGTTACTTGCTAACAGACATGTAACAGCGGGAACCGAAAGTGTTTAAAATTGAACCTTGAAGGTGAACTTTGTTCACTTTGGAACAACGGAACCAAAAGTGGAATCGGACCAAACATGAAGGACCAAAAGTGTAATTATCCCATAGTTTAACATTTTTTTGTCATTTCCGTAAATTTACTGTTAGTCTGTTAGCTAAGACGGTGATGGGCACAGGCTTGACGGAAAGTACTAAGAATGATGAATTTTTGAAACATGCGGGACTAGATGTAATTTTTTAGAACATGTGGACCAAATGTAAAATTCGTGCAAACTTAAAGGATGAAAACTGTATTTTCCCATAATATATTTAGTCACTCCAACTACAATTATTATTTAAAGTTATAAGTACAACTATCTTTTTTGTTATGCATTCCTATCTGCGGGTAGAAATTTGTATCAAATCTTTTTTGTTATAGTTTTTTTTTTTTTAACTTCCAAACAATATTTTTTGTTCCGAATTTCGAAATTTCAATTTCCGTTTTTTTAATTTTCTTTTAGAATTGCCTTTTAATTTTCTATCCGATTTCAATTTCCCAGAAAATTTTGATTTTTTTTTTCAAATTACACTTATAATGTTAACATTATTCCATAATTTTGTTAATTCCAATCCGAATTCCAATTTTGAAACAAGCTTTTTCATGCCTATTTTTTCGAAATCCAGATATCTGATGTTTCACCTTTTTTCGGAATGAAATGGAATTGGTTATTTTTTCACTATCGAAAAAATTAGATTTTTTTTTTCAAATTCCAATTCCAGTTAATCATATCCGTCCGATTTCTAACCTTACCCTTATTATAGAAACAGTAAGGACATATTGGTCTTTTGGTGTAAAGGATTAGTACTAGTGCCAACAAACATGGAAGGAAATTAAAGCAAAAAAAAAGTTTAAAATTTGGGAACTTTTTTCGTAAACCGTCGCATTTGAATTTAAGACATGCTTGTGACCCACATTGGATTCCGGTGATCTAAAGTCGCTTTGGCCATCAAAAGAAAGTTATTTGCCGTTTTCACAAGCTTTTTGAAAATTCATATATTTTTGTAGAAAACTTCGATTGCAGTTCCGCAAATTTGAGTTCGATAAGCATGAGTTGAAGTAGATTTTTATTGCTAGGCAAGAGATTTAGTTGCCATGGCCAACAATATGGTAAGCTTTAATTTGGTTTCTTGATCTTATTGGAAAAGTTGTCCTCATATTATTGCAAGAGAATAAGTAAAGTATGCTGTGAGGATCGTTTTCAATCTTTATAAACTTTTAATAGGTGGAAAAGCAATTTGGTCACAAAAGGGATGTATGTGGTTTAGCAATGTTGACACCAACGCAAGAGTGAATAATTGGAAACTAGGGCAAATTATGGTCACCCCTTGAGTTATAGTCAAATTACGTAAATTTCCTCATGTTTGAGTAATTACAATTACCCCCTCAACTATGTATTATCTTACGAAAAAACCCCTCCAGTGGTAAATTTAGGGATGTTAAATCCGTAAAACCGAACTGAAATTTCGGTACGCCAACATTTCATACCGTTTACCGAACTGAATATACGATTTGGTTCGGTAAATAACCGAATTACATAAATTTTATGTAAGAATATTTAAAAGGAGGGTAGTTGTAATTACCCAAACAAGAGGGGTTTTTTCACAAATTGTCCATACCTCAGGAGGGTGACCGTAATTGCCTTTGGAAATTAATACGATATCATGCATCGATATAAAAAAAAAAAAAGGGCGAAATACAACAACAATAATGACAAGAGTAAATTTTTTTTTTAATTATACTTGTTTGTCTTGAAAATATATCCAACCATCAACTCACTTATATATACTAAAATTACCCCCCAACTCCTTGAAACTCTAATCCACCACAATTTCATGATTTAAACTATAATTTAACCCAAATTTCATTAATTAACCAATTTGACCGTCACTACCGGTCTACGGTGTTGACTTTGTTTTTTTTTTGTTTTTCTTTTTTTCCGTCATAAAATAATATTACTGTTAACACAATAATATCACTTGTTAATTGTAATACTATTGTGTTGGATCGCAATATTACTGTCTTGGCCTTCAATACTACTGTTAGACACTAATATTGTTGTTAACACAGTAGTATTACTGTCATGGCCTGCAATGTTACAGTTTCATACAATAATATTACTGTTAGCACGGTAATATTACGATTTTGCTTGTTTTCAAAATAAAAATGAAAAAAAAAAATTAATATTATTGTATAAGACAGTAAAATTAGTGTATTGTGTTCACAGAAATCTTACTATGTTGACTGATCAACAACGTGAAAATGAAATAATTCAAGGGAAAAAAAAAGTTCAATGCTGGAGATTGGCAGTCAAAGGCGATGGCGGAAAAAAAGTAAACGGCGCCGGCATGAAAAAATATTCATCAATTCTTTTTTCAAAAAAAAAAAAGAAAGAAAAGCCAACGCCGGTCAGTGGCCGAAAAAAAAATGTCCAAAAAATTTGAAAAGAAAAATCAAAAAATTGTGTAAATTGGGATTAATATGATATATTTGTAAAAATTTGGGGTCAATGTGCAATATTTATTAAATTTGAAACATTATGGATGGAAATAATGTAAATTATATTGTGAGTGGCATTTTGGGTAAGAGATAAGAGGTGGATTTTTATGTAGAACTGATTTTTGTCTGGATAGGAGTGCAAATAAATCCTCCTTGTGGGTTATATGCAATTCGTCCATAAAAACATGTTATAAATGTAGGGAATTATGAACAATGGTGCATGTTGAGAGCATAGTTTACACTCAATGTATACTTTCTTACGAGGATTTTTGTATAATTTTATTGATTTAATGATACTTAATGAGTGGTTTATTGTATTTTAGGTACAACTTGACGATTTGGGAGTTCCAAGGACGAAACGAGCCAAAAAAGGTCAAAAAGGGGCAAAAACGGAAGAAAACAAAAATATGCTGAAAATTGGACGGCGCGGCCGTGCCAAATTTAGCCTATTTTTGGCGCGGCCGCGCCAACTGCAGAATGAGGGCAGAAGGTTTCGGCGATTCTCGTGCGGCCGTGTGAGAATTACACTGATTTTCGCGCGGCCGCGCCAAAACACGCTGGAGACAATTTTGGACTTTTAATCAAACAAGGAAACTTAAATTCTTCTACCAAGTTGGGGCATCTATTTAAGGGCAAACCAAGCACGAATTAGAGGACTTTTAAAAAAAACACAGTCTTAGAGCGAGAGGAGCGAGAGAACGGAGAATCGAAGACGGAGAATTGACAAATCTTTATCACAATTCTTCCTTTATCTATCTTTTCTTAATTTATGTCTTTTTATATTTTTATTATGTTTTTCGTAGAGAACATGAGTAGCTAAGGTTTTAATCTAGGATTTTGTTGGAACCCTATGTGGGGATGGTGAACCCGTTTTCTTGAGATTATGCAATTATGATTTTATGATTATTTCTTCTACTAGTTATGATTGTTAGTGCATGAACTTGATCAATTTATGTGCTTTATCTGTGATTATTGGGATTGACTCGACATAGCTATTTTGATAATTAGACGGTAAGTAGAAGAACCTTCGAGTAGTTTTCACCGGATGAGTGTGTCAATTGCATGTGGTGTCGTAGACATACAGATATCACCTTAGGTAGCCATTTACGAGACTTGTTAGTTAATGCTTTATTCATACTTTGTTTGCATAGACATATAGTGAACCGTTTATGAATAATAGACTCATAATACACGCGACAGCGGGTTATGAGTAAATTAGTGTCTCGGGTTAATAATCATGAATCATATATTTCATAATTGAGGGGTTTTGGGTGAGCAATTCTTGCATAGGGGGAAGATAAAATCCTAGGTCCGTTTTTATTGATATTTTCTCGTGTTTATTTGCTTTCATAATTAGTTTAATTATTTAGTTGATTAAATTTGACAACTTTGCG